TTTTTTTTTTTTTTTTTTTTAGTATGAGAACTTCTTTTGTACTTGTATATTGGACCACTGTAGTTATACTTTTATATTAAAGGGGAAAAAAATCCTAAGGTAATGCCTATTAGGCTAGTGTTATTACTTTGTTCAGCAAATTCTACCATGGGTTTAAAGTTTTAATAGATGCTACACCTAATAAAAGTGCCTCTCATATTGCAGGGATGATTTCAAATATATAAGAAGGAGGAAGAATCAATTTTCAGTCTTAGAAAGAAAGTCCACAGTAGAAGAAGGTTGAGATCTTCTGGTCTTTACTTGAGAAATCTGAATATCATTTGTGTGCCCAGAGTTGTAGTTGAAAACTATTTGTATTTTCCAAGGAGATACATAATTCACTGCAGGATTCCTTTAAATATCAGCATTGCCAGTATATGCTTTGATGGTGTATATATAATTTAAGTTCTTTCAAAAGGCTGATACTCCCCAGTTCTGTAGCAGTGTGGAGACTTTGTTAAAGTTGTTACTGAGATTCCTCTCCACAAAGCAAAGCAATGCCTGGAAAATGAGAGCCCTGATAGGATGTTTAGTTGTGGACCTGTCTGATTTGCCTTAAATCTCTATCCAGAAACCTGCCTCTCTAGTTTAAGAAACCAGTGATGGATATTTTCTTTATATGTTAACATTAGAAATACAGATATTCCCCTGTAAGCTAAGAATACTCAAAGCTGCTTGTGCTGCATATGGTGGAAGGCCTGAATCCAAATTCGTTATTTTTTATAATTTACTGTGGAACTTTCATAATTCACATACTTCTGCCTGGAAGATCAGTCAGACCAGGGATTTTATCTGTAAATAGACCTGAAGAGAATTTCAGTATTTATTCCCTACAGACATATTAGTAGGCATATCTGTTGGTCAGTGATAAATATTAATGTTCACGTAGCACTCATATTTTATAGTAGTTTATTGTCATTTCCAGTCTCGTGTTACGTTGGGGAGCTTTGCTCTCCCGTCCTGTTCACATCATTTGTTTTATAGTTTATGAGCTTCTGAGTAAGAGCTTGGTAAAGAGTTAAAGGAAGGGACTTTTGCTTCACCAGGCAGTATTTCATTTTGGGCATTTCACTCTTCTCCAAAAAGGAAGCTATCACAAGCCACCTCTGACTCTGAAATTCCAAAAGTAGTATTTTTTTATGTTTTAATTTTAAAATGAAATCCAAGAACAGCAGTGCTGTTCTTTTTCTTTTTTCTTTGTTCTCCCTTGCATTTCTCCCGCTCCCACCCCCAAACAAAAGAAACTCAGTAGAAAATTTAAGCTTATTTTCTAGCCATGCATTTACCTTTATTTTGCTTTTTTTTTTTAATCTATAAATTTTGACCTGAGAAATTCCTCAGGATCTCTAAATATCTTAAGCAAAAAGTAAGTTCAGGTGAGACTGAAGGGGAAATTTCAGAAAAGTATACATGTATGTATCCTGGATAATTAATAGACATGCACAGTTTCCTTCAAACCAAATGTTTAATAAGGAAATTAAAATAATTATTCTAAGAAAACAGGCAAGATTTTAAATACCTAAGCCTAGCTAAGATAAAGAATTATCAATTCTTGTGTCACTAGAGCTTCGAGCAGATTTCTTAATTGAAGGACAGAAAATACACATACATCACATCCGTCTCTTCAGAGCCTGAAGAAGAACAACATGGCTTTGCCAGCAGAAAGGTTGGGGATTTGAGAGTGATGGAGAGGGAAGGAATGCCAGGCAGACGTTCGGCGCCAGAAGCATCCACTCAGTATCTACAAATGGTGCCCCTGGTGTTTCATCTTGGCTTGTTCTGGTGAGACTGTTACCTTTTGTGTCTGGATAATTCTTCACCTTCTTAAAGTATGTAGAAAAATATTCTAAGTCACTTCATGTGCATACATGTTTAAAAACCTATTTTTATTCTGTCACTAAAGTTTTAATTATGGCATGGGTTTCTCTCACTGCTTTCTTAGTATATTTCTTTCAGTCTTTGAACATAAGAATTTGCCAAAGCCATTTTCCCCCAGTGATATCTGTGAGCCTACATTAAGAAAATGTCCCTGTCAGTGTCTAGGTTAACCATTGATTGGTCTACACTGAATGTATAAAAATACCATTCCAGCTATTGTTCTGGAGCTTGCAGGCATTTGTATAAAAAGCCTGTCAGCATTTTTTTCTTGTCAAAATTATATTCCTTTGAATTGCCATGTAAGACATACTCTGTGATAGGATATTTGCTTCTCTAGATAGAAGTTGGGCGTTTAGTTCTTCACATACGAGAGTCAGGATATGATCATGTTTATATACCTTAGCATACTGTTGGATTTATTTAGATGTGGTGTGTCCTTTGCTCATCTTCCTTAAAATCTATTCAGAGAGATTTGTAAAAGGATCAGGCTTTTTTCTTAGTTCAAATCTGATGGGAGAATTAGGTAACATTTTCCCCTAAAGAAATGTTAATGTTCATTTTGTGGCTTCGAGTTTGCTTGATGACTTAGTTTTGCCTGTTTCGATATTTCATTTAAAACCACAAGTGTGTTATTGCATTCGAAGTCAGTTTTCCTGGGGATTTTCCGTGACTAACATCTAATGTCTATAGAATTACTTCGATAAAAATGAACTTTTGTCTTTTGAAATGTTTCTAAAGGTTAGGACTCCTACATGTCCTTCAGAAGGACACCTATATCTTTAAAGAGAAAAAAAAAATCGTCATTAGGTACCTTAATTCTGTCATTTCTTCTTGGTATGAAATTAGGCAGTTCACTTTACTTTTCCAAGTTTCAGGAGCCACTTACCTCTCAAAAGTGATATGAAGTAGTTAGATTGAGCCTATGGTAAAAGGTATTAAAAGACCAACTATTATTATTGGTCATTTGTCTGAACTTGGAGCTTAAAAAAAAAAAAAGTTGAGAGAACTGTGATGGTAGTAAGATGTCCTTCAGTGCTCTTACCACAGGAATCAATGATGGCTTAAAAATACTTAACTTGCTCTAAGCAATTTATACCAAGAATGGAAGAAACCGTTATTCCCATTAGTTATACCTATGCGTAACCCTTAAGCTTATGAATGTCCATCTTTATGCTTTCTCTCTCATTTAAGAGACTGTATACATCTAAAAATACCATCTATAGTTTATGATAAATTTTTGGCCAGCCAGGCAAATATGTTATACTTGAACCTACTTCAAGAAACACCTTTCTGTAAAGGGAATGTCTTTCCTGACTAAAGAAAAGTACCTAAAGTCAAAGATACCGACGCAGCTGCTGGTCATTTTAATAGGAAGGTTCCAGGTATTCAGTTAATTTTATCATTATAAAATCATGTAATCTCATGAAGAGTCTTACCACCTGAAAATAATTAAAGCCCCTGAAACTATACAGCACAGAGTTTTGAAACAAATTGCAACTCAACTATATACCATAAATCTAATAATTCACAGTCACCATCAGATATTAGGGTCATTAGGTTGAATTGCATACTTGTCACTCATTCTGGCCACACATCATGGAGAGTTTAAAATATTTTATATGTTGCTAATGCAGTTGTGTTTTTGAATAATGATTTAAGTCAGTTTGGGTCGTGCACATTCTATGTTAATAATCATACTTTTTAAAGAAGCAATACATAGAATTCCAAAATCCAGGAGTTCAAACAAAAAAAAGCCCTACTCCCGTGCAAAATCTCTACAGAAATAGAAGAGTTCTGCATTTCAGGGTTGGCTTGTTGAATCAGCAAAAACATTTAGCTGTATGCTTCCAAGATTGGAAATCTTTTTCTTTATTGTACTCTCAATTGTGTTTTCTTTAATAAATCTCTTACAGAAGTCTCTACCTCAGGCACTAAGTGTTAGATATGGTTAGGATATTAATACTGAAAACTTAGCTAGGACTTCCAACTTTTTAAGATATTTAAATGTAAACAACTATTAACCAGCAATCTAATGTCATGTGGTGTGCAGTTTGGATATTGTATGAACAGCTAAGGATTACCCATTCTAGTGCCAAAGATCACTTGTTGCTAATTTTGTTTTGTACAGTTGATGTAAAATTTTATGGTTAGAGACAGACTCTGTGCTCAGGGCCTTGTCTCTAGAAAGATTTCTTTCAGTTTTGAATGTTTTGTCAGTTCCAAATACAGTTTAGAAGATTCATTTGTGGTCTGTGCATCTTTTCCCAAACTTGAAAACTGAACTACCAGGAAATGTCATATCATATTAAGTATATTACCCCATTCTTTGTATAAAATAGTGCTCAAGAGCTTAATGGTTTACACAGAAAGCATGATACAAAAATCTGTTCTCATACCTTCACCTGTAAGTTGATCTCACTGGGAATGCATGAGCAGGAAAATTTCCCAGTGGAGGTTTGAGCTTAAGAGATACCTTTTTTCACAGCTGAGCTAGAACTTCTCTGGGATTGCTGTGGCTAAATGGGTCTGTATTTGTGGTATCATAATCTGGGGAGGGTAGGTAGCCTTGTGTGGGAGGAGGGGGGTGCTGACGTCTAAGCACAGAAACTGGGAACACACACCCTGTCTTTGGCTCCCTTTGTTTCTCAAGGCCCTTTCTCCAAGAGTAGTGCCTTCTGAGAGAGATGGTCCCCACAGACGTACACCAGTCTTGGTAATTCTAATCTACCTTCTGAAAAGAGAAGGGTTTGGGAGAGGGTCACATTTATTGCAACAATGCCCTCTGTTCCCCTGGACACATAATAGCTGGCTGTAGGTTACACATAGAGCCCACCCTCAGCAGCACATTGTTAAACTAGTTAGCCAACCATATTTGGTAATAAATTTCTGAGCTGCTTGAAAGCTGTTGGAGCAGTTAAGTCACTGCTAGTTTTGAAAGTACATTTTTTTGTCAGATTTGCCATCAGAACAGAGACTAATACCTGCAAAAAGTGTTGGCGAAAAGTTAAAATCTGTTTGCTACATAGAATTAAGGACAATATTTCTAAGTTTTAAGGGCTTATGTTAATACACAATATTTTTAGGGTTTGCCTCCTCGAGGTATCAGATTGGAAGCATGTTAAACATGAGCATGAAGAAGACGACTTTGAGGTGGAGCTGAGAACAGAATCCAGGTCTGCACAGTGATTGCCCAGTGGCTCAATCCAGTGCCCTTTGCTCTCTTCCTAGATGAGTGTGCAGAAGTAGCTGTTAGTGGGGCTTTCTCAAAAATTCTCTAGGTAATTCTTACGTACATTAAGGTTTGTGAACCATAGGAAGTGTGAACCAGAATAAGAGGGGAAGAGCATTTTGAATGATTTCTTCTGTTTCAAGGAGATACAGAACATGGATGTCATCTCCCAGCTCAGAATGACTGATAGCTGCCTGGAGTTACGAAGACTGTAAGAAAATTCAGACTCAGTATGGATTCAGGACTTCTGGTTTATGACTGACTCAGCCCACATGAAAAGAACCTTCATACCTTATATGTAAATAAGTCAGGGTCATTACTTAGAAATTTCTCCAATGTACATTTAATGACACCTTTGAGGAATTAGAAATAGGAAGTGACTCAGAATTGGAAAACATCCTGGAATAGGGAAAAGAGATGACATGGTCACAAACACTTGTCAGTCGGTTTTCTCTCCTGGCCCTCTCAGTCCTGAGGAAACATCACAGCATTTCCTTGCCCTGTCCTTGACATGCTGTGCCTACTTTAAACTAGATTCGGGGATTGTGAAAGAAAACCTAAGGAAGCCCACTGCTGGTGCCTCAAGGAAAAGCTGACCGGATTCCCTCTTTACCCTCAGCCGAACCTCCCACAAGTATCCTTGTCTGCTCTGCTCTCGGGGCCATCACAGAGGGCATGGGCTGGCTGACAGCTTAAACTCCAGGCAGAGCAGAACCAAGCAACTGTTCATAACCGATTTCTGTGCATAACCAGTGACCTGAATGGGACCTGACCATGGGCGAAAATGATACAGAACTAGATAGCTTTATTTTATTTTCAGTTTGTGTAGTCCTGTGGAAGTGAAATTTTATCTTTGCACTGGGAACATTGAAAAAGACTGACAGGGAGTCCTTTGGCCTGGCCCATTCTTTTGGAAAGCACGTTGCAGCTGTGGTGACTGCCCAGCAGGCAGACATGCTAGATCCTGTACCCAGGTGCTGCTGAGAGCAGTGACAGGCCTCAGTCTCTGACTGCAGAGTGGTCTGCACGGGGATTTGGGTTCCTTAAGACACTTTTAATGGCAAAAGCTCTAGGAACAGGGTAAGTGCAAATTGTCAATGGATTATTTGCTTCACATCAGATAGTGAAATGATCATGGTGGACAAGGATCTGCAGTGTTGGAATGAGTTGTGATTATAGACCTGCTTGTGATACTGCTGTTTAGTTCCAGTGGTTTGCTTCTGGGGGCTTGTTGACTTAAAAGATATAGTGTGGGGTGGGGACCATTACTTACTGCCCTTAGGCAGTGAGTGGCCTTTCAAGCCAGCTCTTCTGAGTAATGGGCTAAGATCCTGGGAAATTGCTGGGAGAAGGAAGGGTAGATACAAGCTAAGGGCATGTGTGTGTTGGGGGAGGGTATTTCTGTGTGGTAGGGGGAATGTGAAATGCCGTAGCACTGCCAGGGAAGGTTGTGAATAGGTCAACATAGGTTGGCTTGGAATAGATGTCCTGGGCAGGAGCCCATTACCCTTGATTTGGGGTTGCCAGATAAAATACAGGATACCCGGTTAAATTTGAATCTCTTACCAACAGCGAATAATTTTTATATATTGCATGGAACATATTAATATTTTAAAAATTGGTTTATCCAAAATTCAAATTTGAGTGACCTGTATTTTTATTTGCTAAAACTGGCAACCCTGGCCTGGGTGGTATGGCTCAGTTGGTTGAGCATCTTCCATGCATTAAGAGGTCACCAGTTCAATTTCCAGGTCGAGGCACATGGCCGGGTTTCGGGCTTGATCCCCTGTGGGGGTCCAGCAGGAGGCAGCCGAGTAATGAATGTTTTTCTCTCATTGATATTTCTCTTTCTCTCTCCGTCTTCCTTTCTCTCCAAAATCAATAAGAACATTATTTTAAAAAACTGGCAACTTGCCCAGCCGGGCATGGCTCAGTGGTTGAGCATAGACCTAGGATCCGGGAGATTGAGGTTCAATTCCCGGTCAGGGCACATCCCCAGGTTCCGGGCTTGATCCCCCAGTAGGGGGTGTGCAGGAGGCAGCAGATCAGTGATGACTCTCATCATTGATGTTTCCATCTCTCCCTTCTCACAGAAATCAATAAAGATATATTTAAAAAAATAAAATAAATAAAAACTGGCAACTTGCCCAGCCAGGCATGGCTCAGTGGTTGAGCATTGACCTAGGATCCAGGAGATGGAGGTTCGATTCCCGGTCAGGGCACATGCCCGGGTTGCGGGCTCCATCCCCAATCGGGCGTGCAGGAGGCAGCCGATGAATGACTCTCTCATCATTGATCTTTCTCTCTCTCCCTCTCCTTTCCTCTCTCTGAAATCAAAAAAGATATATTAAAAAACAAACAAACTGGCAACTTGGTTGTTTATTTTAGCAAATAAACAGTTGATTCAACTCAGACATGTGTTCAGAGGATGGAAAAGGCTGTAGTCAACTATTAGAAAAGCTATGCGCATAAAATGAATGCTGAGTCTGAGTTACTTCATGCAGAAAGAGTAAGAAGTCATGCAAAGAGGAATGCTTTTTGGCCCTCCCTGGTTCTATAATTTTATCAGTAACAGTTTAATAGCCATGTCAGCCCAAACTCAGGGCAGCAGCCAGTCTGCTTTTTAAAAAATTTATTGATCTATCAGTTCCACTTCTGGGTATATAGCCAAAAGAATCAAAAGCAAGATCTTAAAGAGATGTTTACACACCCATGTTTATTACAGCACTAGTCACTGTGGCCAAGAGGTGGAAGCCGCTCACCTGTCCATGGTGAGGAGAATGGATGAAGAAAATAGGATATATGCATATAATGGACTGGTACTCAGCCTTAAGAAGAAGGTCCTATCACAAGGATGAACCTTAAGGACATTATGCTAAATGAAATAAGCCTGTCACAAAAGAACAAAGACTGTATGATTCCATTTATATAAGATACTTCAATTAGTCAAAAATCATAGAAAAGTGGAATGGCGATTGTGGGGGTTGGGCTGGGGAAATGAGTTTTTGATGGATACAAAGTTTCAGTTTTGAAAGATGAAAATGTTCCAGAAATCTGTTACACAACAATGTGAACTGTACACTTAAAAATTGTTGAGGGTAAGTTTTGTTTGTTTTAAGGGGAAGTTTTCATTTTCTTTTTTTTTTTAGTTTTTCTTTATTGATTTGAGAGAGAGAAAGAGAAACATTAACCCGTTGCTCCACCTATTCATGCACCCATCAGTTGACTCCTGCATGTGCCCTGACCAGGGATTGAACCCAAAACCTTGGCATGTCAGGGTGACTCCAACCAACTGAGCTACCCCGCCAGGGCTGTATTTTTTAAATCACAATTTAAATAGAATAATATTACTAAAACAAAATAAAATAATTTTAATCAATACTAAAGGTATAAAAGAGTGAAAGTCCTCAGAGGCAGTCACTCTCTAACATTTCTTTCTAGAAGCATTTATGCACATACGAGCATATACATATATGTCTGTCCTTTGCTTAGCAAAGCATTTATTCAACAGAATTACAATTATCTTTAGTAATAGCAGGTTACAGGACCCCAAATCCAAAATGACAGGCACCAAAAGTAGAGAACTTACTTAAATTTAATTTTCTTAAAAGGGAACACAGAAAATTGACAGGAACGTGTACTGCTAGTGTTCATGAAATAACTTTCCATAAACATTATAGCTTATGCGCTGTAACAGACTACATGAAATGAAATGTAAGAGTTCTAAAGATTTTTCTAAGTTCTTAAAATTAGTTTTATGAGGCTTAATTTACAGACAATAAATGTGCTCTTTTTCAGGGTGTAATTCAATGACTTTGGTGTCTTTTTTTTATCTTTTGGTTTCTTTTTTAAAATAAAATGATCATTGCTGTTTTTTTGGTTATTCTATTTTAATGACTTCTGGTTATGAAGGTGTCATTACATGCTCCTTATAAAAAAACTTGTATAGCCTGGCTGGCCTGGCTTAGCGGTTGAGCATCAACCTAGGATCTAGGAGATCGTGTTTCGATTCCCGGTTGGGGCACATGCCTGGGTTGCGGGCTCGATCCCCAGTTGGGGGCCTGCAGAAGGCAGCTGATCAAGGATGATTCATCAATGTTTCTATCTCTGTCTCCCTTCCTCTCTCTGAAATCAATAAGGGTATATTTATAAATAAATAAACAAACTTACATAATTCAGAAAATAAAGAGAAAACAAAATACATCAATAATTGCCCAGTTCCTAGAAAGCCATTGTCCCTAGCTACCATTGTCTTTTTTAAAAGCACACATGCATTTATTCAAAGTATGTAGGAAATACAAATGGTCCACAACTTTCATATTCAGATAACCCTTGTTGGACTTTAAGAGTAGCCCAGGCCAGTGTGGCTCAATTGGCTGAGCTTCGTCCCGGGCACCAAGAGGTCACCAGTTCAATTCCTGGTCAAGGGAAATGCCTGGGTTGCAGGCTCAGTCACCAGGAGACAGCCAATCATTGTTTCTCTCTCACAATGATGTTTTGCTCTCTCCCTCTCTCTCTCTGAAAGCAGTAACATATTTTTAAATTATACATGCACATGTCTTAAAAATTAAACTACCAAAATGTATTAAGTGGGTGAAAAATAAATATCCCCTTCCAACAGTTCCCCGAAGTGTAATGGCTGGTCCATTTTTGCGAACTCTATCACAGGCTTTTCCTATGCATATCTCAGCCTGTACAGAAGGTCATTCTATAAACACTTCAACGTCTTGTTTTTCACTTACTACATCTTTGAGTGCTTTTCCCGCCAGCACTTTCGCATTTTGTTTTATTTTTGTTAATCCTAACACAAGGATATTTTTTCCATTGATTTTTTAGAGAGAGTGGAAGGGAGGGAGAGACAGAAAAATCAATGTGAGAGAGACACATTGATTGCCTCCCCTGTATACCCCAACTGGGGCCAGGAATCGAGCCTACAACCGAAGTACGTGCCTGTGACTGGAATTGAACCTGAGACCCTTAAGTCCTTGGGTTGAGGCTCTAACCACTGAGCCAAACAGGCTAGGGCAGCACTTTTGAATTTTAATGACCACTCTACTTGATGGCACAACTGTGGTCGCCTTCAGTTTCATGCTTCCAGCTACTAAGTGACCTGATGGCCTCACTGTAGCCCCATGTTCTCAAGAGAACAAGACAGCTCGCCTCACAGAAAAACATGCTCCACTTACCAAAAGGAAGCACCATGCAGGTGCTTAATGCTGGTAATATCCAGTGTCTTCATGTAATAAGTTCTCTGAACAAGGATTGACGTGTAGTTTTTGGCACCTTCCTAAAAACTGTTAAATCTAGCTTTCAAATAACGTTCTCAGATTTAATATCTACAGATTTAGCTAAATTGTGGTAAGGCGAAGGGCAATAAATGCACATTTCTGATGTGGTCTGATCAGAGCACAGTTATTGTTTCCATAGAAATAAGATTTCCTTATCGGGAAAGGTAGTGGCCTGCTGGACTCCAGCTCCACAGGGCATGCCACACTGGGGTATTCTCTTTATTTCTGGGCATCATGCTTTAGGAATGTGGGTACAAGGGGAATGGCAAGACGAGGCCATGAGGAGCACTTCAGGAATCTGGAAGGCCCTGTAGCCTGGCGCAGAGAAGACTTGCACAAGGGAGTACCAGTGGCCGAAACACACGGGACTGAACTAGGAGTTGTTGGGAGGCAGAGCTTGGTTATAATGTTAAGTTTTCTGATAAAAAATCTGTTGCTTTTTGAGGTGGTATGTTTCCCATCATTGTAGGAATTTACACAAAGGTCAAGTTGGGGGGTTTGCAGGAGTAATCAAGTGAGAAGTTGATACTTTCTTAGGACCCGCTCTTCAGATTCTACAATTCTGTCTGGATAAACAGGATTCTGGGCTCCATCCCCTTTTCAACAACACTGATTATAAGGACTTTTTCTTTGCCTCTTATTTTTTTTTCTAAGTGCCTGGAGATTCTGGGCAAGGATTTCAGTAAGTAAACACTATAAGTCTTTGACGTTTATGAAATACTCAGAAAAGGGAAGAACCCATAAAAGTCCTTTGAAGGGGTGGCTGGCTCTTGTGTTGCAGCAGCTGGCCCATTCTGGGCTGCAGGAACAGCCATGCATCAGTGTCCTCACCAATAAGGATGTTAGGCGATCCCACATAAAGGTTCTACGTAAGAGTTCTGCAGAGAGCCTTCTCTTGGAAGATGCAGAGAGATAGAAACCAAGACTCTGGGTGGCATTATGTAGTGGCAGAAAATAAGACCTTTGCATGAATTGTCAGGTGGGTGTTACAAGCAACATAGTTTAAGGGGACACATCTTCCAAGGCTGGGTTTCCTTATCTTTGAAGTGGGACTAGTAATAGCCCTGGTACATTTGGCTAGTGTGAGGACCACCCATGGTGTTGTGTTAGTGCCCAGCCCACAGGAAGCCCCATAATTAGGGGCTGTGAATTCTTAGGCGGCATAGATGGGGCTGTCTGGTGCTGGAAGAATGATATTTCCACTGATAAATCTAGGAAGGCTAAGAGGAAAGCTAGTTGAGGAGGAGGGGTGGGATTGGGAATATAATCCCAATTCTTTACAGCAACAAATCAGTTATTCTTTCTATTGTGCAGCGGGAAAGAAATTTCCACAGTGTGCCACATGCTATGGGGTATGTCTCAAATGAAACTTTGGCTTCCACACCCCAAAGATCACTCAAATTCCAGATTCAACTCCAGTTACACAGAAGCATTGTAGGCCAGTCCAATTTTATGTTTCCTTTTTACCCCCCTCCTAGCCCAACACACAACCATCCAGCCTGCTTTAGCCTTTGGATGGCACAGTAATTTTTCATTCAACAAACTTTTTAAGCACCACGAGTGTTGCAGGCACCAAATTGCTTGCTGGGAACATGACACTGTAAAAGGCAGCCCCAGTCCCACTCTTCATGGCACTGATGCTGCCTTTGGGGGCAGACAGGCTCTCAGGATGCAGCGTGCTGAGTGCACCGTGGGGGGACCCTCAACCCAGGGTGGCGTTCTGGAGCAAGCTACATAAATGGAGACCTAGAGGATGTTAGCCAGATAAAGCAGAGGTAGAGTCATAAATGGGGAGAAAGTCCAAGGGCGAGAACCTTCAAGGAACTGAAAGACATTCCCAAGGTTGGAACCAAAAGGGGAAGATGGGCCGGAAATGAGCTGGAAAGGCAAGTAGGGGACAGAGAGTTGAGCCAGAGCTCCGGGGTTGAGGAGGGACTGGAGAGGAACAGCTGGAGGAGTGGAGCTGACTGTTGCCAGGATCCAGATGATGGGATGGGAAAGGAGATGAAGTTGGAGGTGGCAACCTGGAGTGTTCGCTCCAAGGACTGGATGAGTGATGAGGAAATGTGATGGTGGGTGCAGGCAGATCTATCAAGAAATGTGGCTGTAAAAGATGCAGGGCTGGTGGCCAGAGGATGGTTTTTGTTTTTCTTTTTAAGACCGGAAAGGTCTTGGGTTATGGGAAGGAGGAGATAGCAGGGGAGAGGATTCATAGGTGGCAAGATGATGTCCTCAAAAGGTAGGAGGGGTTGGGGTTCAGTGTAAAGGGAGGGATTGATCCTTGGGGGATGGACCCAAGAGCACTGGTAAGAAAGCAAGTGGGGCTCTGGCATGGCCTTAAGAGTGGGGTTTCAGATTGAGTGTGAAGTAGGAGGGGAGAGATGATCTGGGTGAAGAGGGTGGGATGGGTGAGTTTTTTAGAGAGCAAAGGAGGTGGACTTAAATGGCAGGAGAGCCTGGCCCGCACGGCTCAGGGGTTGAGCACCGACCTGGGATCCAGGAGATTGCGGTTGATTCCCGGTCAGGGCACATGCCTGGCTTGTGGGCTCGATTCCCAGTGGGGAGCGTGCAGGAGGCAGCCGGTCAATGACTCTCTCATCATTGATGTTTCAGCTCTCTCCCTCTCCTTCTCCCTTCCCCTCTCTGAAATCAATATATATATATTTAAAAATAAAATGGCAGGAGAGGGAAGCACACCCACCAGGTAAATGCAGGTGCACCCGCGCCGTTGCTGAGAACGCACAGCAAAGGTTGAGACTACAGTTTTGTAACGTCAGTCTGGGCAGCCCTGGGAGTCTCTCTCCCACTAAGATCAGCCCTGCCTCCCACCACCCCACTCCTGTGCTCAAATCCTCAACCCAGGAATGACCCTCAGATTACAGAAGCAACCGGTGTCTCATGACAAAACCAAGTTTCCTGGGATGAACCTCATATAGCCTGTCCTTAGTGGAGACGCTGGGATATATTCCTTGCAGTGGCCTCTGGAGTGATGGTGGCATCTTATTTTCCGAGGCAGCCAGGCTCAGGCTCAACCTGGAGAAAGTTACTGGGGTCAGACAGTGAGTTTATTTTTAAACCCAAGTGGGCACTACAGCTGCCAGGGAGAAGCAGACGGTTCTTGAGGAGAATAGAGATTGGCAGCTGGTCAGACACTTGTCAGGAAGCCTGTAGGCTGCCAAGTGGGCAGGGGTTCAGGTGGCCGAAGGCCAGGACTGTGCACGAGGGGTGGCAGTGGGGGATGGGGCAGTTTAGGCTTCAGAGCCCAACTGAAGCATTGCCTAAGAAGGCAGTGGGGGCTCCAGACGGAGCCGGCAGCCGAGGCCGCCCCTGAGACAGCTCAGAGCCGGTGAGCATGCTGGACACTGCTGTCCTTGTCTCTCCAGCCAGGGAGTGGGTTCGGGTTGATGTCCATTCATGGTCAGATGGACCATATGAAGAGCTTTGTGCAAGAGCAAAGGGCAGTCAAGCATTAGGGGTGTTAGGTCAGCATTCTGGGTGGGGGGAGGTGGCTGAGTGGCACCGTGTCCCCTTATAAATAGCTGACCTGGAATGCAGCGTGTGATGGGGTGGGAGGCTCTCACCAGCGCTCTGCGTGGAGGATGTTATTATCCATGGCTTCGTGGGCCCACCGACCTCATGAAGCGAGGAGACACTTCTCTCCCAAAGGTCCAGGAGACGGTGGGCCCTCCTGAGCACTTTTGCCCTCTGCAAGGGCTGCCAGGACACGTTTCTAGAGTTGTCACCCAGGATGATCTCCAGATTGTAATATCTTAGCACCCTTGACAGGCACGGTAGCAATAGCTTGAGTCACGGCACTAACCAACGTTTATTTCCTGCCTTTGCTTTCAACACCAGAAGGCGCCTACGGAAACCCCCGTGAACACTAGAGCCAAGGCTGGGGGGTGCCGAGGGTTTCTGGGCTTGGTGGGAGGTCCTCCGGCACCTGTGTGAGGTGCTCTGCAGATCTTACTCCCTTAAATGTGCCTGTGATTTCTCAAGAAATGAGAATGAATCTCCACCTTCAAAGGCCAAAATTTGAAGCTGAAGCCATTACTGACTTGCCTGCAAAGTCTTTTTGGCAGGAAGAGGCTTCCTCAGCACCGAGATCCACTCTCTCATTTTCCTCCTGAAAAGGTTGATACAAATCTTATTTCATCTACGGCAAGTTCCTGAGGACGGGGGCGGCGCAGAGCTGCCTTCAGGGCAGGGCATATCTAAGTCTCTCACTAAGTCAAGTTACAATTCCCCAATCCTGCCAAAGTCATCCTGGCTCCTTGCCTGCCTTCTAGAAAGGTACACACAGATCCCCACTGCCTTTAATAAGGTCCTGTCTGCTGCAGCTGATCCAAATCTTTCTGGCTATAGTTTCCTTTCTTCTGTCCTGCCTTCAGTTTCCTGGATTTAGATATTGCTACTTAATAGCATCAGTTATTGTCTATGCTCTCCAATATGGGAGCCACCAGCTGCATGTGACTATGAGCACTTGAAAAGTGGTCCTGACCGTGGGGAATGGGGCTGTGGTCCTGGAGCTTCTAGCTGCGCATTCTCCCCAGGTCCTTGCCTGCTGCTGCTATTTCTTGCTCCCAGTATCTCCTCTCTCTCCTTCCATTCCTTATTCCCTGTCCCCACCTCTCTCACTTATCTTTTCCCTGAACCAGCAGGACTCCCAGTCCCAAAGTGGTCTGGAGGAAAAGAAACAATAATACCTATCTGGCTCAAACTGGGCCCCCAGTGGGGGAGGAGCTCTCAGCCTTGTTCAGTTCCTTCCTGTCCCCGGGAGCAGCAGGAGGAAGCAGAGGTGGGAAAAAAACAAATTCCCTGTGGGCCCAAGAACACTGTGCCCTTAGGACCAGATTAGCAGTTTTGTTCCCCCTTTCTGGGATCTCTTGGGAGGTGAGGACTGGCCTCTCTGGCTTTAACCATAGAAAGGAAGTTGGGTCTCCTGCCTTTTATTTTTTTAAAAAATATATCTTTATTGATTTCAGAGAGAGGAAAGGAGAGGGAGAGAGATAGAAACATCAATGCTGAGAGAGCCATTGATCGGCTGCCTCTTGCACGCCCCCTCCTGGGGATGGAGCCCGCAACCTGGGCATGTGCCCTGACAGGGAATCGAACGGTGATCGCCTGGATCCCAGGTCGATGCTCAACCGCTGAGCCACACCCTGCCAGGCCTCCTCCTTTTTAGTAAGGTGCTTTCCAATTCACTTCCCCTGTGCTCTGCTTTGAAACCAGAGGGCAGTTTATCTTTGTTAGGAGAGCAGAGGAAGTGGAAGGGCCAGACCCTCCACCCAGTCTGTGTCTGATTACTGGCCGTGGATGGAAAACTACGCCCTGCCTCCTAGCCTCCCAGTGCCCAGTACTAGGTGCTCACTTCCTGCCTTCAGTGTCCATCCCCCACCCCCTCCATCATCACACATCATCATGCTCCCTCCAGGGCCATTAAGGACAGGGAAGGGTGTCCTGTCGTGTCCCCCCGT